AGCCCATTGAGATAGTTAAATAGCCCATTCTTGTCAAATTCTTTTCACTCAGTTTTTGACCTCCCTAAAAACGCATAGCAAAAAATGAAACCCATTTTTAAGATCCTTGTATGGACCCCTACAACAAGCAACAAACCATTTCCAAAAAGCGCGCCACGACCTGAAAGACCTCCCTTGTCAGCCCGCGCGCTCATCAGCCTGCTCAGTCGAGCTAAGCAAACAAAACAACATTGAGCTAGAACAGTGAGGCCTACGGTACTTGCCACGAACTTGATGCCTAATTTTGGGAAACCGAGGATTCTATTACTTTCTGCTTTTGTTTTTTTTTCTTTGCTTTCTGTTTCATGTACATCAAAGTGTCTGGTTTTCGAAAACAGTTCTTTTGAAATAACTGCAAGTCCTAAATCCTAAACTGTAATCATAAAAAATTTTTTTATAGAATGTGTGGATGAGGGTCATTGCTGGACGATTAATGCGCGCGCCGCATTTCATCGTTCTAACCCTAGCCCAATCCTCCAGGCCTTCAACCTCAAGCCGATAGCAGTTAGGAGTACTTCGAGTTTCGTAACCGCGTATTGTAATCCCGCCAAGCAGCCGTCGTCTTTGTTACGTCTATATGTTCATCTGTTTGTCTTCGTCCGGTGAAAACTAGCCTTATTCTTTCTCATGTAACCACAACAAGCTTACCTCACTTCAGGTGCTGTACATCGTGCCCGTTCGATGCGAAATATGTCGGAAGATGTCCCTGCGAAGCAGGTGCAGGCTTTTGAAAGGAGTGATGGCGTTAAGGTATGCTTATATTACGCCTCATGTGATATTTGTGATATATTATGTGTTGATAAAGCCAGTAGTTGTTGTTTTTTCTCCAAAAACTGATTCGATGTTTTCATTGCAGACACAAGTCGTGCGAAATAGTTTCTGCAGGAGCCGATGCCCTGAGTAGTGCAGGGTCAATGACACTAAAAAGTTTGAATGCTCATATTCGTTGTACTACATTGGCGCGAAGAGAGCATAACTCGACTGAAAGCGTCATTTAAAAGAAGCAAGAGTAACAAGGAAAACGAGCTTCCTTGTGGAAGATGCGAACAAGTATTCTTTACGGAAACGGGATTGGCCCTCAGTCTCAAGCAAGGATTTTGCTATCCATTTCTTCAATTTGAAAAGTAATATCATAAATGGAAATGATCAGTTTGGATTCAGAAAATACACAACGCAACTCTCGAAGAGTGACGGCTATGTTATCCCTTCCTGCGGGGACAAATTCACATCTCATCGTTAACTTGCCGGCTACTGCCTCGAAAAACATGCTGACGAGACTCCTGACCAAGACTGTACCATCATCTCAGGTCATCTAGAGAACTGGATAACATTTGAGGTCAGCACTACCATGAATTTGTAGGAGAGAGGGGGCTCTGGGGTGAGTAAGTAGAATTTGGATATTCCAGGGGGGACAGGTAAAGGAATTGTCAACTCGAACACATTTTTCGACTCGTACATCACGTGGATCGTCAAGCGGAAGATGGTCTTTGCTAGCAATCTACAAGCACAGCAAACGCCGTCGACTTGGCTCCACTCGCTATCGTCACCTTTCTGCCATGGACTGGCAGTCTCCTAGTATTAAGCTAGGAGATTCTCTTGAAGCGGTTGTATTTACATTTTCATGGGCGAGGATCGCGTGTGTTCCGACTTATCGAGCTTCTGGAGCGAGAGCAGTGTCTGTGGGACCGCCGATGCGACAGCTATTGCATACCCAGGAGAAAAAAAGCGGCGTGAGATAGAGTGTGGGAAACGCTTAGGCGTGAGGGCCACATTTGCAGTACGTCTTCATCAGGCATCTGGCGCAAACCATCAAGAGAAGGTAACGAAGTAGTAGTTCATTGGGTCTTACTTTTTTGTTCAGTAGTGCTACCATCATTGTTGGTATTATCGTTCCTCAAGAATAAACATTCTAGTTTCCAGATGACGAGCTTAATAAGATGTGGAAATATTTGGTTTATACTAGAAGAAGAAAAAAACAAGTGACAACTGTGTCACTCGCCATCAAAGGATGGACATACGGAGAAATGTTATCTTTCCTGGAGAGAACTGATTTTGAAGGGGGGGGGGGGTGGTATTGCCTTTTCAAATTGGAACTTTATAAACCAAATTGGGCAGCACAGTTTTCAATTTGATTTGAGAAAGTTAGATTGATTTTTCATACAAATCGGGCACCATGTTGCCCAATCCAATCCGTAGGGTGTCCCATTTGAGGTGTTTGAATTATCTTTCAAAGGAACACTTTCAGTTCTCGATGAAAGCGGCAATTTTGTGGCTTTCTCTGAAACTAGATCGGAAACATCCATGTCATCATCAGTTGACATGGATCCCGAGTTCCCTTCCCCAGGATCCAAAAAGAATACAAATGTTTCCGCAAACTATATCTAAGTATGTTTCCTTTGAGCATTTGGGAGCTCTCCCCTAGCGATCTGAATACAGCAATTAGCAAAATGAACTGCCATCCTGCATCACTAAAAATTTTGTCAGAATTACCCAGCTTACCGGAAGAAGTGGCTGAGGTACTTCGAGCACTCTAGATCCCACAGATGTTATCGTAGTGAGCCCTGATGCGCTCTCTCGCCTCGACTGCTGCATCTACACCTCTCCCGTATCGGCCTCCTCAATAGCGTCGAACTGGCGAGTGGGCATTTGGAACCGCGCCACCCTTTCGAGCGCATTCTGTCTTCTTGCTAGGACGTTATGCAGAACCTCAAACAGAGACCTTGAGAAAATTTTCATCAAACTTTTTGTTGACCCTCTCACCAGCAAAGACTGCACTACCTTCTCAGCATTCTGGAGGATGGTGAAACGTCGGCATGAAAGGCCGAACGTTGACTCCACCATCCGTCGGGCTAACTAAAGAGAATTCACTAAATTCGAGGTAATGTGAGCAAAAGATTCCTACACGCCATGTTTGGCGTTAAACCTCATCTTACTCGCATTATCCTCAGCTGCCTGCGAATAGCGGCGCACATAACGATAGCCTTGCCTAAAACCGCAGCCCACCAAAATGTGGTAATTTGAGCTCTCATTCCAACCTACCTTGATAATGGAGTTCATGTAAGCCCCGCACCTCCCTGGTGCCCCCAAATAAAAGGCTAGGATGCGATAATCGCAATCCAGCAGAGCGAGTGGGATGATGGAAAAACTCCCTTCATAGCTGAAGTACTAGGAGCGAGCCGGTCTCTGCAGATAGTATATCGCTGTTGGGTTTTGACGGCCACTTCTTCCAAATCCTCTCTTGTAAATGGTGAGAACGCTTCCGCGAAAAGGCCTAATGCGCTATCATTGAGAACGCTGCGAAACTGTGTTTATCCGTTAACTAGCTCACGGTTCGTTATCGCGTCCGCAACCTCGTAAACAGTCTGAGCGATGGTCGCTTTCCCACAATGCACTTCTTCGACTAGAGAGCCGAAAGCATAGCCATGTCCGATGTATCTTAAACCTTGCACATAAATTGACTTATAATGTCTACCGTATAGATAACTCACCACCTCATAAAAATGAACAAGCTCTTCCGACCGGTTGCAAGAGAAGCATTGGTGGTGGAATGGAGCAGCCCGGCTCTACGCTCGTACAGGTCCTCAAATTCAGCTGGTGTGAGCCTGGCGTGATGCGCAAAGTTGCGGTCCACACAGCCAGATACTCATCGAATGTAAATTCAGCTGGTGTGAGCCTGGCGTGATGCGCAAAGTTGCGGCTGTCCACACAGCCAGATACTCATCGAATGTTCGGAGACGCAACTCCAGAAAGGGCAGGTGCTCCCTCCGCACGTACTGTCTCCGTGGTTCCGCTCTCCAGACACTCTCATACGCACGCTCCAGTTGCTCCTAAGCTTCCAGGATCGCTCTTGCGTCTTCTTCATCCACACCCTCAAAAATTACCAAACGTTTTCAAATTGAACTCTCTCTTCTTTCATTTGCAGGTCATCGCGCGGATCACCAGACTGAACTTGAACCAGCATTACGAAGATTCTACTGAAGTATAATAAAGCAGAAGAACTATTTTTCTTGAGCTTTGTTGATGATTTTCTTCATTTCGGTACTTCGATGGCAGCACAGAAGCTCTTTGTACAGCTTTGTTGATCACTTTCCTCATTTTGGTGCCTCATATGGGAGACAGTTGGTACTCTTCTTTTGTTCAGCTTTGTTGCTGATTTTCTTAACTACTCCTTTATGGCGAAGCTTAATAAGAAGTTTTCATGGAGTTACTGCTATCCTCCCTCACTTCCTGCCTAGCTTCTACACTTGGTAAGCTTGTAAGGAATCTAAGGAGGACGGAATCTTAGCGG